TGTGGGACATAGTTTCTGTTTTTGGAAACTAATATGCATCGTCCATGTCGAACCTCCTTGCTCATTTTCCATTGTTTTTCCTGTTTCATGCTGTTGTATATATCGTCTGTACAGATTTCATATTTACAAATATATTACTATCCGCATCATAGGTATATGCAAGCATAGGTTTGCGTTTGCTCTTGCAGTCAGCCTCAATTGGTAATAATTCTTATTCGTTCTCAACCCGGTCAGGTACAGGAAACTGTTGCTTCTGTACATCTGTATCTACCTGCTGCTCCACTAGTAGGAGCTCTTGGCCGATGCACATCTATGTTTGAATCACCATCTTTATCCACGATTGTACCAATGTGGATGTGTTCCACTGAGCTTACTGTTGTAACTCAACAGCGTCTGTTTGGCTTCTAACAGTCTTTCGAAAGAATATCCACCAGTATGTTTGGCAGCTTATCTATGACGTAAGCTTTTTTGAAGTAAGCTATCGCTTGGAGGGCGATAGGCTTTACGCAGTGCATTTTATTTCCTAGTAAAACGCGACAGATGTCATCGTTGTGTTTGTCACATGCCACATGATCCAAAATAAAATCCATGTTCATTGCAAACAAATTTCAGTACTCATTAGTAAGTCAAGATTTTTGCCTCAACCAGCATTGTGCAACCATGTATAATTGTTTACACTACCTGGTTAAAGATGAAGAAAAAATTAATACCGGTGTTAAGGTGGCGTGAATCTTCTTGAATGAGAAGGATGAGTTCAAAATTGGAAGCAGTTTACGTGGTGTACATATAATGACACCTCATGCAATTTTATTATGTCAGTACTGTCTTGAGCGAGTTGCGTCAAACAGTTAATCATATGGGTATGATTATCATTTTTCAAAAAGGGACTATCAGTATACCCCAGTGTGATGTAAACTCTTCATCTTTTCAGTACCACTCACTTTGGACACAGAAACCGTCTTCACGAATATTTCACAAACAACAATGCATTAGACAGTAGTACAATAAAGTACAGAAAAATTGAAAGTGCGAAGGCGCCAGATGTACAACAATTCAAAGAATGTTAGAGGACAGATGAACGGGACAGGGGAGGAGGGTAGTGGTCAATGAGAGCTAGGTTGAAACTAGGGAAGTTGACTTTCATTCCATTGTTTGATGACATTCTCTGAGCAGAGGTCGAACGTGACTCCGAACGTT